AATTGTTAAAGTTATTAAATTATTTTATATTTATAATTTATAACAATTATTTTTTATAATTTTAGCGCTGTCTGATAACTGTTCGTTTCCATTGAACGAGTTGCCAAAAGATTTCTTGTCATCCGTATATAAGTGTTCCAAATATTTTAGTGAATTGCAAATGCAAGTTAAAGAGAATAATATAAAATGGTTTTACCAGAAAACTGAAAATGATATTAAATCATTAACAGAATTACAGTATTGTGTCGCTAAAACATATATCAATAGATTTCAAATAAAACCAATTAACCCTTCTCAGGAAAATGTTGGACTAAATAAACTTAGGGTATGATTTATAATATTTAATTTTTTTTAAGATAACTTTCATTGATATATTACCTATTGTGCATTGTCATTTTGGAGTTAAATCTCAAAATTTCAAAATAAATATTTTATTTATTTTAACGCTGAAACATTTAAAAATTAAATTATGATTAACACAAAATTATTTATTATTGAATAGGCTATTCAGTTCGATCTACCGAAAGTTTCGACAACGAAGACAGATATGAATTGTTCATTTACCGAAAAAATGTGTCAAGTAAAATACCGAGAATTAGACGAAACTAAATTACTTCAAGATCAAGTGAATAGTTATAAGCAAACTCCATGGAAGTATGATAAAGAAGTAGGTATCGTAGTTTACCGCAAAGGTCAGTAGAATTATAAAACTTATATTATATTTGTATATAATATAATTATATAATTTATATAATATTCATATTATTTAAAACTAAATGATAATTTGTTATTTTGTTTTTTTTTTATATAGGATGCCAAAATTGATTTTTTGAGTTTGAATATGCAAATGGGTAAACCTGTTTCTATAATTCGTAACTCAAAGTTTTGTGCCAATGAACTTATTGATTACAACAATCGAGCAAGATCATTGTTTGCTGTTTCAACAGATGACGCTATTAAGCGTAGAGAGTAAGTTTTTAATTTTTCAACCTATGTAAATAAAATTATATTTCACGTTAATAATAAGTATAAATATAATATTAAAATAATATTTTATATATTATTTTTAATATTAATATATAATTTTTTTTTTTATGTGTTACAGATATTTTCGGCTTAAAATTCCAAAACAAGCGATCCATGGTCAATTGATTGTTTGTGATGTAACATCGATTTATACCAATGATTTTTTGAACAATAGTAGAAAACAGCTTGACTCTCTGACTTTAATTTTAGAATCATTGAAAAAACTTAAAATTTCTGACAGTTTTTTGTTAATTGGATATCCATTACTTTCTCAAGTTAATGTTGGTGTTTTCTATGTGCTTGTTAATATGTTCCTTAAGGTATTTATAATTTATGAACTAGAATTTTAAAATTATCTATTCCTATTTTTTCAATGTAATTTGTATTTAATTTTAATTTTCAATTTCTTTCAGACCGGAGTGATCAAACCTGTTGAAATGGGTCATGCTTTTGTGTTTTGTTCAAAACTTAATGGCAAAAGTACAGATGATTTAATGTCCGTTTTGTCAAATGTAAAAGAACATATCAAGGATCTTAATATTACAGAAATTCTTGAAAAGCAAGGCCAATCCTTACTTTCCTTTTTTCCGATCGATAAACTTATGTGTAAGTTTTTATTTTTTATTTTTTATTTTAGATAAAACTAATTTATTGCACATGTTTTATTATTTTAAAGCTATAACTTAAATGTGATTTTATGTTTCAGATGAATCCATTTATAAAGATATTGTTGCTGTTAATTGTTTGGTTATCATCAATGACGTTATATCTGTTAAAAATGCCAAGTCGAGAATCCATGATTCATCTGATAGTTCAGAAACGATTTTATTTTTTTAATTCATAAATATTTCTATTTTCAATTGTAAATCAAAAAATCGTTGAAGTGCTACACCTCTACTCAACCATCAGACTTCTATAAAATACCTAAAATTCTATAAATATATATAAATAATATTCTGATTCAATTTCATCCAAAATTATTGAAATTGTTGATGACTCAAACCATTTTTTCAAATAAAATTTATTGAGGAAATTACTTTGACAGGCAAGAATTGTACTTATACAACAAAATGTTTCTTGGTGAATTATATAATGAAAATTCATAGGAATTTCAAAATCGTTTTTCAACATTTTTTTCTACCACATCTTTATATGAACCACTCATAGTTTTTCCACCATCTGCTGTTACACTTAACAAATTTTTTCCACTCTCGTTTTAAATTGTTTAGTGATTTATCAATATGTACGAACAAATCTTCTCCCATGGTAATCCCTTTTAAATTACAAAGATTGGCAAGTTCTTAATCGTTAAGTTATAAATTGACAATAAATATATATTTTACTTGGTATGTGCATTTTATTGTTGCTTTACAACAAAATTTAATATTATTATGTTTAATATGATTTCTTCATTTATATGTTATAAGCAGGGTTCAGAAGTTTTAGTACTAATAATAAAAAAATATGCATTAAACTTGAAAAATTATAAATTTATTAGAAAAAAAAAATGTAATTTTACAAATTTTAGAGCTCATAGACACAGTTTGGACTGGTTGAATTACTAATAAGATAATATGAATATTTTGATTTATTGTATGCACCTGTAAAGTAACTAAAATTATAATACTGAGTTAATATGTTATATTTTAACATAGAATATTTTTAATTTATTAGATAAAGTTTGTGTTTATAAAATTATTATTTATACTAAAATAATGTGTAATTAAGGATATTTTAATTTTAATAATATTTTGTATTACTGAAGTAAAAATGCAGTGAATAATAATTAAAGCTTTTAATGATAAATGATACTTGTTTATTGAAAAAAAAAATATTTATTAGCAAGTTATATTTTTATTAAATATAATTTTATAGAAATAAATTAAAAAAAGGGTGAAAAAAGCATAATAATTATTGAGCTAGTTTTTTCTCTTCATATGCCATTTAGGCGCTTTGCAGCTTTCAGCAGAGCTATTCAATCTTCTTGATCCTCAGCACCTTCAATACTCATTTCATTCAATGTTGTTGTGGCCTTTCATTGTCTCATTTTTTATTTGACTTGTTAATGAGAACTTGTCTAATAAATTTACCGTCTTTACACCATACATGGCTAACTCACTTAAGTCTTTTCAACATTATAAAATAATTATTTTTGCTAATAATATAGTTATAAATAATGTTATTATGGTTAGTAGAATTAAAATTTAGTTTTTATATTCTGAAATGAGTCATTGATAAATAGAAGATAGAATTATAAGAGAAGTACTAAATTATTATATTAAAATACTGATTAGTGAAATTATGAAATTTATCACAGTAAGTTAAAATATATTTTGAATTTGAAATTTTTTACTATTTATTAAATAATAGTTATTTTAGTGGTACTAATAAAAAATAACAGCTAAAAATTTAAAAATTATTAAAGATATTTGATCTGGAAAATAAAAACTATTCAATTCAAATGAATGATGAAATTATTATCAGTATGGAAATATAATTATAGACATCATCAACAATCATAGAATACATTTTTAATCAGAAAACTATTTATCAATAACTTAAAACAATATTAATAATTATATATATATATTTATACAATAGTTGAGAATAATGTTATTTGTAATTTGTTTTGATAATATAATATTGTTATAATTATCAAAGTAACCAAAATAGTCACAAAAGATTCTAGTATAAAAATATAACTATTTATAATTTGTTCATAAATACTTGTCAATATTTTAAAAGTCTAAGAGTTATTAATTTTAATACGTTAACTGCCACCTACTTTTTTCGTACATTGCCCGGAAGGCCATGTGTACATTTTTGTGTACACGTCATAAATTGCCAAAATTGCTTTCATGTACATTATAATGTACACTGATGGTTTTGAACTCACCATCTCCGTGTACAAAATTCTGATACAGTACTGTTGATTTTAGATAGGAATATGAATCTCGTGGCCCTTTAGACCATTTCTATATTTTTAGCGAACACATAGCAGTACTTGTTACTATTGTAATCTACTTTTAGACATCTGAATTGAATGTATTCTCTAATAAATATTAATAAAAATACAATTATGTATATGATTTTTATTTTACATATTCAACTTTGACATAATATAATTATTAAAAAAAAATTAGAAATATATAATAAAAAATTGAATTTTACGTATTACTTATAACATTATTTTTTTTATAAATGATATCTTTTTAATTTTTACAATGTTCAAAAAAAATTTCCTTTATAGATATAAAATAAAAAATAAATTTGCGTTGTTTACTAAATTACCTATGCCTTTTTTGTTTTGTGGGCTATAAAAAAAAAATACTGTATATTGTATTGATAATATTGTGTAACCTAATAATAATATTAACGAATATTACTATGTCTGGTCTAGGAGGTCACGTGTACATTATTTTGACACAATCTACATTTTGAATTTTCCGTGTGGAAATGTCTTTTTAAAATACTATAAAACATTAAGCTAAATAACAAAAAATTTGTGATAAAAAATTTTCTTTTTAGATTTTGGCAAACATACAAAAAAATGCCTATGTATGAATGGCAATTTTCCCGTGTACAAAATAATGTACACATGGCAGTTAACGTGTTAAACATGAAAAACAACAAATATTTATATTGCAGCAATTATTTTTCTCATATACTTGTTCAAAAATGATTTTAACTATCACTAGCAATAAAAAAATTAATTAAATCAATAAACCTGGAAATAAGATTTAAGGAAGTTTGCAGATTTAGATTATAGATATTTAATTTAAAAAATAATAAAAATAACAATGGTTTCATAAAATAAAATCATAAATAAGTATAATAATATTTAATTAATTTAAAACAAATCCAACATACGCATAGCATAATAATAAATAAAATAATAATCATAATTAAATGGTATAAATCGGATAATTATATTTTCAGTTAGATACTAATTATAAAATAACACAATAAAAAAATTGATATTATTTGCTCTTAATTTAAAAAAAAAAACACTATTTATAAAATTGCTTGATTCAAGTAAATTCATGACGACACCAGTTAAAATATTTCATTACTGTTAAAAAAATAAAAGTATTAAGCCCCAGTTAATATTAATTATATCATAAATGTTTAACAATTAATGTAACTAACAATCACAGTTTAAATGTCAGACTAAGCACCAAACAGAAATATTCAAGAAAAACTAAAAACATTAAAAATAGCCAATAGATTATCACTAACTAAATAGTGAATATAAATAATATAGAAGCTACTGTAAAATATTTCCAACAATATTTCAATGAATGATAGAATAATAATAATAATAATGACATTATTAATAAAAATTAACATACTGTGCAAGTAAATCATGCCAACAGCAGCCAAACAATAAATATTACTGCAATCCATAAAAATAGTTTTGATAAGTAATGATCATCTTGCTGTAGTTGTCCACCAACCGGAACTAAATTTGAATATATTATTAAGATCTGTTAAAATATTTAAATTACAATTATATTTTATTTACCTCCATGAGGACGATCAGAAAAATTAAAGGATGTTAAAAATCCAAAGGGAAATGCTCCTATTCCAAAAGACAAATGAAAACCACCATCTCCAAAATTAAAACCAGGGAAACCCTAAAAAAAAAAAAGTAACAGATTTTATAGAAAAATTAAAAACGTTATAAATAAATGACTTACAGTATTAGCATCAGGTTCAGTTCTCTGACCAGCAGGTCTGGGAGGTACTTTATTTCTGAAAACAAATTATAGTGTATATCAAAGGATAATACAATTTATAAATAATAAAAATAATTAGTTATACATTTCAGTTTTAAATAGCTATACAATAAATTAAATGAAATAACCATATATAACTATTTGAATTACTAAACAGCAAACAAAAACTTTAGGTTAATCTAAGGCTGTTCGATTATCATAAAATATATTTGATTGTCCAAAATATTAAATAATCGAATAAATTTAAATTAATCGAAGATTTTCATCAAGCATTGCTAGAGTGCTCGATTGTTGAAATAACCAAGGACCTATCAATTAATCGATGAATCAATTAAAACAATCAATTAATTGATTTAAATAATCGATTGATCAATTAAAACAAAATATCGATAAAAGTTTAACGATTTAACTGGTTTAAGTATAGCTCTACTCTATTATATTTCCTGCCAGGTGTCCAGGTTTAAGGTTATTAACTTTAAGGTTATAACTCATTTAAGAAAAATCCAAAAATGTATCGTTTGATTCATATTTAATATACTTTTGAAATAATAAGAACTAAGAAGTATAAAAGGTATTCTGTTTGATAATGGATAACAATTTGTCACTGTGTGTGTTGTTTGAGGGTAGTGCAAGCGAGTCACTTGCCCAGGCCGCAGGGCCTCACGTATATTTAATAAAACTACATTGATACCTATAGATAGTGGCAGGCCCACAGGAATTTAAATGGGGAGCTAAGAATATGACATAACTAAGGATCTGTAGTGACATACGTTTCAAGATCTAAAGTGGTGCCAAAACTAAAATTATAATCTTGTGTAGATAGGTTAACAATTTTGATGAAAGTGCTCTAATTTTTAGTTATGACTTATGCTACTATTATAGGAAACGTAATTAAAATTTTAAAGACTAGTAAAACTCATAGCGCTTGTATTAAAATTAAAATAAATCTTTACCTATATATTTAGCAAGTATCATAATATTTAATTATAGACTTATAGTAAGTTATTATATAATAACTGCTAATAAATTCCAGACTGTCTTCATTAATATTCTTGCTTTAATTAATATAAATGTCCCAAAAAAAACCCGTTAAGATCCATATCTACATTAATTTTTATCTCTACCTACAAGTGTAACTATTGTCTTTTTGCACCAGTTAACTAAATGTTAACTTAAGCAGTTTAGCCCTTAGGTAATAAACTTAAAAATTTTGATTTTTTTTTTCATTTCAATGTATAGATTAATTGGTAATGCAATTAATTGATGATTAATACTTTTAAAAATAATAATCGATTAATCGAAACAATCGAACAGCCCTAGGTTAATCAATCATATACTCAAACTAGTTTAAAAGACACAATTTAAGAGTATTATAAATTTATCAAAAAATAATAATCATCAATATGTTATTTATTCAAAGAAAATTCATAGCATGTAGTACTTTATACCTGGGATCTTCTTGTTTGGTATTTCCACGTCCATAAATTGGTATGACTTTATCTTTGCTAATCACAGCTTTACATACTGGACATACTTGACGACTAGATCGAGTTTCTAACCATTGATGCAAGCATGGCCAGCTAAAATTTAAATTGATTTAAATGAATTAGTTATTAAGATATTGATAAGTATTTTTACATTCCAATGATCCTTTATAGATTATTAGATATTTAGACTATTCATTTTTTAGTTTTTAACATAAAAAATGGAAGAGATACTAACTATTAAGACAAAGCAACAAACCAGTTTTTCTTTGTTTTAGTAAGGATACCCTGCTATACAGCATTTACCTGTAATATGAGGTATTTTGGTTGGTTCACTACTTTTTGATAATTATAAATATGATAAGCAGTATTAATAAATTCCACCCATATGTAAACAAACTCTTATTCAGGTTATAGTTTAAATAAAATCGGGGATGTATTTAAATTAAGTATACTAGTTAGTTGGAAAATAATTTTCAGTAACATTCACAACAATAATAATAAAATTACTAATTAAAAATAAGTATGTCAAAAACTAATCAAAGTATATAACTGTGTTTATATATACTAGTAATCTTTTGATATTTAATCTTCTAAATTACTCATAAAGTACAGATCTGTAGTAGGTATACAGTTTTCAACCAATTAATAGACATTTGAAAATAATTCTACAAATTAAAAAAAACTAAATTAAATAGTTTGATTTTGAATTTTTTATATAAATAATGAAATAATTGAACAATAATAGAAGTTGATTAATAATTCATATTTTGAATGAAAAATAATTTTTAAAGAATTAAATAGTAATTGTATAAAATAAAAGTAGTCTTTCCCAGTTTTCCTTAGAAAGGAAGAAAAATTAATTATAATTTTAGCATATTAAATGACATGGACCATAGGCATGTGCAGAATTTTGTGTTGCGTGCAGTATACACTTTTAACCGGCCCAACAGAACAATAAGTAAATAGCAGCCCATTTATTTCTCTCATTAAAAGTATAATAAAAGTGGTAAATAGAAATAATCATATTATATATAATATACTATGATATACTTTTCTAATATAAAATAAAGAATTATAAAAATTAGATAAAATTAAAATAAATAAATAGTTTTATTAGTATTGCTGCCCTGGTTAGAAATTGAACAGTTATATGTATTATGTAAGGCTGTATCTTTATGTATATACATATATATGTTATAATCATTTGTATGTCGGATTTATCTGTTAAAATAAAGTCTATCTATTTTAAATTTCTTGAATTGATAAACAGTATTATCATTTTTTTATTTGAATAACGTTTAATAATTATAATTGATTTTAATTTTAAATTCAATATTTTTAAAATGTTTTCATTCTAAGTATGCTTGTCAAATAAATATCCTAAATCCAAAATTGTCAGGTGCAACAAAAGCACTATTCTCTGCATTCAGTGCACGTCTATGTAAGGACCATATCTGGAGCGTACCTAGGAATTTTTTATGGGAGGGGTCCAAAATTTTTATTTTATCTGTTCTCTTATTATAATCATAGTTTAACTTAATACCAACAAATTACTGTTAATATACTATATTATGGTTTATATATTATAGGTATATTATATAATCTATAAACTTTGTATATTGAAGATAATGTAAAGTTAAAATATACTATATACTATTATTATACTATTTACTATTAAACCGTTGAGTATGTAGAAATTCCAATGGGGTGGGGGCCGGACTCGAAAACCCCCTCTTGGATCATATTAATGCTTAATATAACATGGATGTTTATTATGTGCACATTTAATGAATTTTAATAATTTGCTTACAATAGTCATTTAAACTTAGTTTTAAAGATACTAACCAAAATAAATGGCCACAAACACTGACAACTGCGTCCTTGGCATTATCCAAGCATATGTTACATTCAAACATGTTATTTTGTTCATCTTTGCTTTCATTCTCTTTGTTGTCTGTGTTTTTCCGGGATGAATCCGATTCGCTGCTAGTAGTTGCCATAATGTTCTGTTAGATTCGACAAGAAAAAAAAAAAAAGAAAGAACTAAATACTGAAACAAAACTCTGAACTACAGTTGTTAGTTCAGACCTATTGCACGTCAACATTATCGGTATGGTAATTATTTATGTTTGACGTACTTATATGATATTATCTCCGATTATCTCCCGTTAAAAGTAAACAATAATCCTACACAATACGACATTGGCCACAGCAAATGATGTGTAATAATTTCGTTTTTCTTTTTAGACTTACGACTAGTGACGTATTTTCTCAGTTCGGAACTTATTTTGTTTGGAAAATTCAGTTATCGGTGCGTTTTGTTTTTCAGAACGGCACGGCACTTCAAAAGTCACGAACGGACCGAATGGTGGGAGAAGAAAAAATTAAAAATGTAAAGTAAATGTATTGGATTAGAATGTTCACTACACGCCTTTTTATAGTCGAATGTTGATACGGATTTCGGAACACGGATAATGGCAAGTTGTAGCAGGTAGGTGTGCATGTATATTATCGTGTCTGTTGTAAATAATGCGAATTACATAATTTTTTTCGCTATCTATTCGTGACGATTCGTTATCAGACACTGTTCACCGATGTGTTACGTATGGTCATCGATGCTTGACCGTAATGTACCGGTTTTAAATTTTAAGGTTATGTTGTGGTAATGTTGTGCATTTGGATTTCATCTGAAAATTGTTTACTTATTTTTCATGCATTATGAAATTATATTAGCATTCGCCACTTTTCTGTTAATTATTGTCTTCAATACATTCAACATGTCGTTAGTGTGTGCAAGTAAGGATAATTTTTTATTGATTTTATTCAGTTTATTGAAATGTACTTTCACAATTTACTATAGTATTAGTATTGTATTGTATTATATTATTATTATCATGGTATGAACTTGGTGAAATGATCTCAGCTACTGTCGATTTTTCGAATTTTTTATTCTCAGAACTTCACATTTAAATGACGTATTTCCTATTATATTTTATAATTTACTATTGATATTTATTGGGGGGATTTGGTTTTAGAAGCAAAGAGCCTAAATGGCTCGTAAAAGCTAAAAAAAAAAAAAATTGATATTTATTGTAAACACACTCCTTTATTGTTAAAAAGTTTAATTCGGGTGTTAAAACTTAAATTTATTCTATATAAACAAAAATATAAATGAAGTACTGGTTTTCAATAATTTTTAACTTATATATATATAAAGTAATATATTTTATTACATTTACAGTTTCCAATGAAGTACCAGAGCACCCGGTGGTTTCCCCAGTGTCGGGATCAATTTTTGAAAGACGACTTATTGAAAAATACATCAAAGAAAATAATACTGATCCAATAAGTGGTTTGGAATTGACAGTTGAACAGCTTGTTGATATTAAAAGTAAGCTGGTACTTATTAATGATAAATATTGTTTTACAGTTTTAAAATATGCTATGCATTTATATTATTTGCTCAAAATACTTACTCGCTTACAGATATATTTATAAACTACTTTATTTGTATTCTGTTATCTTTTCATCCAACTTATTATAAAATGTCATTAATTCATAAATGTATACATTACAGATTAGTTGTACAATCTATTTAATTAAGATACATTTATTTTAGTAAGATATGTAATACACTAATGTAAATCACTAATGTATTACAGAAATATTTTGTAATATTTAATATATAAATAATTATCATTTATATTAAGACTTAGTAGTTTTGAACTTGATTTAAGTTCGATTTAGTTAGAAGAATTTGATAATGTAAAACTACTAGAAAATATAATAACTAGTTTTATATAAATATAAATATACATAATATATTGTCATCCGCGGGAATAAATCTCCTGTGTGAAAAATTACTAAAATGAGGTTTTGGTATCACTAAATTCAGAAAAAAATTATCTTCAATATGATTAAAACTCCTGTGTGCTATCTTTCTTCCATTTTAAATGAAATATAAATTAAATAATCTTCCTTATGTGGGGCTAATCATAAACGTTTTTGGAATACCTCCAATGTGAATACTTAAGCTCCTATGTGTATGACGTTTTAGTAAAATGTATAAATATCTCCTATGTAAATAAGAATATGATTGGCAATGGCATTGGAGGTATTGTTGTTTGTATATAGGTTAGTGTCGTGTGGGGATAGATAGATAATAACAGTTTTGTCTCTACTGAATTGTAGTGATTTTTCACATAGGAGATTTATTCCCGCGGACGACGATATAATATACCATTTCTAATGACACCGGTTGTAGTAACATATTGGGTGTAATAACCTTATATTAAAGGTCCTGGGAAAACTCCTATATTGTATGTACTAATGTGTATTGCTTATTATGATATCTATATAATGACTATACGGAAGTTGTGATGGTTACTTTTGGTTATATTGGAAAAATATTTTATCTAAAATGACTTTACTTTATCGAAGGTACTATTACAATATTGATAATACCATTATTACTTCATCGTTGTTTAGTCGTTGGTTTTATTTTACTTCATTTTATTGTCAGTGTACTGATAATCGTCGTGCGGTTAAATGTGTTTTATTTTCGTGTGTTAAATTGTATTGTGAAATTGTAAAATAAGCAAACAAAAGTAATTTACCATCGAAAATAAGGCAAATATCATTTTTTATTTAAAAAGAAGGTGAAAAAAATTCCGATATAGCTAATGAGTTAGGCGTAGGTCACTCTACAATTTCCAACATATGGAAAGTTCGAGACAAAATCGAACATGAGTTTCAAAATGAAAAATTATCAGTTAAGAAACTTAGAAATTGTACACATATAGATTTAGATAATGTTTTATTTCGATGGTTTAAAAATCAAAGAAATCTATGCATTCCAATTAATGGACCAATTCTTTAGCAGAAAGCCAATGAATTAGCTGAAGGCCTTGGTAAGCATAATTTTAATTGTTTGATTGGTTGGTTTCAAAGATTTAGAGCGAGGCATTATATTGTGTTTTTTACAATAAGCGGAGAATCAAATGCGGTCAATACTGAAATAACACAAAATTGGCTCAAAAAAGTATGGCCTAAATTATGAGAAGGATACACAGATGACCAAATTTATAATGCAGATGAGACTGGACTTTTTTACAGAATGCTTCCTAACAGATTTAAAGGAGAAAACTGTTCAGGTGGTAAAATGTCCAATGAATGTCTGACTGTCTTAATTTCAGCAAGTACGACTGGTTAAACAATGAAACTTATCATAATTGGAAAATTCTGTAATCCACGATGTTTCAAACACATCAAAAGTTTTAATATTAAACTTGTATTTTTACCCAGTAATTGTACGTCAGTTCTTCAACCAATAGATCAATGCGTAATAAAATGTATGAAAACTTATTTTCGAAAAAGTTTGGTGCTAAATATGGTCAATAATATTGAAAACAAAATTGAAGCGAATATCAGTGTATTAGATGCTATATTAATGATTTTTAAAGCTTGGGAAAAAGTATCAGATATTACAATTCGAAATTGTTTTCGTCACGCTGGTTTCAATAATGCAATACCACAACAAACTATCCAAGGAAAACAAAAAGAAGACATAAGTTTCCCAAACATAAATGAATATGTTAACTTTGATAATGATGTGCTAACTTGGGTACCATTAAGTAATCAAGAACTTATTTCTACATTGATTAACCAACCTGAAGAACCTGAGGAAGACGACAATACAGATGAAGGTGATAAAGATGAAGAAGCTGATTTATCTATTAACGCAGTGTTCAATGCAGCAGAGATGTTAGTAAATTAAATGGCTCTGAATATCATAAGCTCAAAGATAAATTTTGAAGAACTAGAAAAAAAAAAATAGAGCATGATTTTTATACAATTTTTAAATTCAATCTAAAATAACAGATTTCTTTAAATAATAATTGAATTAATTAAATGTTTTTATCTTTACTTTTTTCTATATTATACATAGCATTAATAAATAATAATAATAATATGTATTGAAGTTACAATTTTTTTTTGTCATTTTGGTTATAATGACAACCGGTTATTATGACCTATTTTCATTGGTCCCTTGTACGTTATTATAAACAGTTTCTACTGTATATATATTTATTTTTTAATGTATATGTATTATTTATTCTTATTTTTTTACATGCTTACACAAATATACTTACATATAGTTTTACGACAGTATATAATTAATACTAAGTTATTGTTAATATATTCATTAAGACATTCAATACTTAGGTGTAAAAACTTATGTTTTGTAATTTCCATTTCATTACTTTCCTTGTTATAAATTTGCATAATATACTAATACAAGAATGTCTTAGTACATGCAAATTTTGATATATGGTTGCCAATTAATTATAAATGTAAAATGCATTGTTTAGTTTGGTTTTTAATCAATCAAAGTTCAGAGTTTAAATTTAGAATATGTTTACATATGTCATTATAAAACCTTGAGAATTGATTAATTTCCATCTAATTATAATTTTAAAATCAATTTTGGTTTAATATTTTTTAATATTTAATTTAATTTTAGGCTCTACTCTTTGAATATTAAATAAAATATATTTTAATAAAAGTATAAGTTACAAAAAAATAATTGTTTTTGATAAAAATATTTTGAAAATAATATTTAAATTTACCTAAGCATTTATTGAAAAGGCATTTTAAATTTCATTATAAGATATCAACAACTGAGCTATTTTATATAAAGTTAAAAGAAATAAAATTAAAAGAGGTAATGGTGGTGGCAGTTATTTCTCACAAGATAGTCTTGGCTGGAAAGAAAAATCTTTGGAAATGGCCAAATAGGCATCTGAGAAATGGATTTGACTGCTTTATTCCACTTAACCACGACTCTCTTTAAAATGACATAATAAATATGTATTAAAATACATTTAGCTAATAATATAAACCATGTTTAAAATATATACCAGTTAGTTGATTGTGCATTATCAAAGTTTGTTTGTTTTTTAATTTAAGTTTTATATTTTATTTATCTGTGACATTTATTGAAAAACAAATAATAATTTTATACTTTTGTTATGACAAAATAATTTTTTGTTAATATTTTTATTTATTAAAATACATGCATAATATATAATTATTCAATAATTATTAATGATTCAGTCTTTGCTTAAGAAATCAAATAAAAAAATCACAATAACTAAAGGGTTTAGTTCATAAAAAAAAAAAAATTGTTTTATATTTAATTAATTATAATAATATTTTTTTACTATTATAATATTAATGATTCAGTTTTTGTAATAACTAATATATTAATTTACTTTCTATTAAAGCTGCTCCTATTGTCAAACCTAAACCTGTAACTGGCACTAGCATACCTGCTATACTTAAAATGCTTCAAGATGAATGGGATGCGGTTATGTTGCATGCATTTACACAAAGACAACAACTTCAAACAGCTAGACAGGAGTTGAGTCATGCTTTGTATCAGCATGATGCTGCATGTCGTGTAATTGGTCGTTTGACCAAGGAAGTAACAGCTGCTCGTGAAGCTTTGGCTACCTTGAAACCTCAAGCTGGGATTTCTGTTAGTGATTCATCTGCAAATGCAGGACCTACTACAATACCACAACCTGTATGATAATAGTTTTTATTTTATTTTTTACTTCTACATTTATTTGAGAAATGAATGATTATTCATTATTTTACTTACAGGCCATTGCTATGGAAGCTGCAGGAGTACCAAATCAACCTACAGAAGAAGCTGGTATAACTGATGAAATAATTAAAAAACTGCAAGAAAAAGCTACAGTTTTAACACAAGAGAGAAAGAAACGAGGACGTACAGTTCCAGAAGACTTAATGGACCAAGAATCATTAAAAGGATTTAAAACATTAGCTTCTCATCCAGTAAGTACTTTAAGTGTTTTGCATGTTGTATAAATATATAAATGGCGATATTTTTTTTAGGGTCTTCATAGTGCGAGTGTACCAGGAATATTATCATTAGATATTCATAGTGAAGATACTAGTAAAATTTTAACTGGAGGAAACGATAAAAATGCTACAGTATTTAACAAAGATACTGAACAAATTATAGCAGTACTAAAGGGTCATACAAAGAAAGTTACGCGAGTTATTTATCATCCAAATGAAGTAATAATAATTTTATTTTTTTAATGATTGTATTGTTATTGAAATAAGTCTTATTAATATAAAATTATTAATGTGTAGGATGTTGTAATAACTGGTTCACCTGATACTACAATTCGTGTATGGAATGTTGGTGGTTCTAATCCATTATCTCAAATAATTAGAGCACATGAAGGTTCAGTAACTGGTGTTTCATTGCATCCTACTGGTGATTATGTTTTATCCACATCCGCTGATCAAAACTGGGCATTTTCTGATATTCGTACTGGAAAGTTGTTGACAAAAGTAAATTTACTTTTAGTTAATTAAAGTCTCATAGAAATGTATTACTTTAAATAAGCCTTCTAGCCTTCTAGATCTATGCAATAATTATTTATGATCTAGATTTTTATGAGTGTTGGAACTAAATTAAAATATGTTTAAATGTAGGTTTCAAGTCAAACTTCAAACAACACTTTAACGACTGGTCAATTCCATCCTGATGGACTCATATTTGGAACTGGTACTTCGGATTCAAATGTTGTAATTTGGGATTTAAAAGAACAATCAAATGTTGCAACTTTCTCTGGTAAAAAAATTAATAAATTATTTATATTTTTTGTGAACCTCATTATTTAGAAGAAATTTACAATCAATTCAGGTTTTATAATCTTTTTATTATTCATTTTTATTTTTCAATAGGACACTCTGGACCAATAACAGCTATATCATTTTCTGAAAATGGTTATTACCTTGCTACTTCTGCTGATGATTGCTGTGTTAAGCTTTGGGATTTGCGTAAATTAAAGAATTTCAAAACTCTTGTTATGGATGATGGATATGAAATTAAGGATTTATGCTTTGACCAAAGTGGAACTTATCTTGGTGTTGCAGGAACTGATGTTCGGTAAGTTAAAATAATAAAAATAAAAATTGTACATTTTTTTCATTTTTATAATATAATATTTTATTTTTAGTGTTTATATGTGTAAGCAATGGCAAGAATTAAAAGTATTCAATGATCACACAGCATTGGCTACTGGTATTAGGTTTGGAAAACACTCTCAATTTATTGCTTCAACTAGTATGGACAGAACTTTAAAACTTTATGGACTCTAAAGAATGCAATGTGTGAAATATGTCACAATTTTAGATTTTAAGAACTGTTTAGATATATATATATTTTTTTTTTTACTGCAATATTGCGTTAATAATTAAACATTGAAAATTAAAAACTTGAAATATGTTTGATTTTATTTTTTTGTTTTAAACTTAATGAATGCGTTTATATATTATAAAGGATAATTTTCAATTTTCATTTTTAGCATACAGACAACTGATTTTACTATAATTCACTCTAATGTTTCAAATGTAATAGATAATATAATTTGATGATTCATTATAATCAATCATAATTCAGTATTTATTGGTTTCTGGTGAGAAATAAGCTGATTTTACTCATTAAAGTTTGAAATGATATTTGAACTATATCTATAAAATTGAAATTTTTAACATCTATATTGGCAGTAAAACTCCTATTTTAAGACTACTACATATTTAATTATAAATATACTTGTACTATAAACATTTATTTTACATTTGATTTTTTTTTTTTACCTTTACAATTCTAATTGTTTAAAATTATTGTTTAATTATATCATCATTATAGTAACTATACATTTTAGTTAATTAAGAAATTGACAATTTAGTTAAAAATCAAAAATTGATTTTTTTTTAAAGACATTCATCAATTTTTACTGATATTATTTCACCGAAGTTATTAATTTTTTTCATAAAAAATACATTTTAAATTTTTAATATAATACCAAATGTATGTTTCATTTTAACATTGCAAATATGCGTTTTATTATGCTTTCTTTTTATTATTTCTGTAATCATATTTTTATAAAATAATATAGTTATAACTAAATATTTAAAGTGAGATATTATAACACTTTCTTAATGTTAAATAAACTACTATATTACAAATATGTGTGATGATTTTCTTGTATACCTTTAACCATGAAATATAATTTAATAAATATAGTATAATATATATTTATTATATTATTTTATTAGTATTTATAAGTATTTTATAAGTAAGTATATTTTTTGACTTAGTAAATTGAAAAACATCATTTGAAAAATGTTGACCATTAAATGTTAATTTGTTGTATTTCCAGTTTTATTTTTAAATGTCAAAATATTCTTTTGTATTCCAATTAATATTCTCAACTCTTTAAATATTAGCATTTATATTTGGTTTGTATAAAATATTATACATAATACATCATTAATATCTTCAATTTATAATTTGTTTTTAATTTTAAATTAACAATATTTCAACTGTTAATGAGTATCACTAAAACAGATTATTTGCTATGGGAGGTGTATTATGGTAAAAATCATGTAATTTATTTAAAACGGGGTATATAGTTATTTATTGATTGATTAAAACAGTATTATGTGTTATCATATTAGCAGAAGATAAACTTTAAAAAAAAACAACTTAATGTCCGAACATTAATAAAGAAATAATGTATCCTTAACTGGCGAGAGACTTTTAATCGATTCAACCACAATTTTATTGTAACGCGACAGTTGTAGTAATGATGATTTTGGATCTTATTGATAATAATATTTTTTGGATGACGATTGTTGAAAATGAAGTACCTAACTTTAATTTTAATGTCAAATCAAATTTTAAACACACTTATTGGTGTGTTTGAGGAGAAGTGGTGACTGCCCCACGTAATAAAATTCAAGATGCATTATTTCTTTATCTGATACATAGTGTTTGAAAACAATTTAAAACAGTTGATACTGTCCATAGTCAATGGTTGAATATTTGACTAGAATCAAAGATAAACAGGTTACCGAGTACATTAGTATATTAGTATATTAGTATACATTAGTATATCCGTCTTACTCGTGTAAAACTTGTACATATTTGTAAGACGGCACTTTGTATAGGCAATTTAAGAGCATTGATACTTTTTGGTAAAATTTAGGGCTGCGGATCGTCAAAATCAATAATTAGTTGTCAGACTTATTAATTAATAGAAATTTCGTTTGCGTTTTTCTTATTGTATTCAAAGAAGTAACTAGAAAAATGTATAACATTATTAAAATATAATTTATGAAATCTTTTATGTCAGGTGATGAACAAAACTAATAATAAAAATAAAAAAATCTTGTTAGGTTCTTGATAAACTAGTACGTAGTATCATAATAGCTCATTAAATGTTATGCGACGATCAAATCATACAAAGCAGATTTGTTGAAAATAATGATGTTCCATACGTTTTATCCATTTCGGATTTGTTCCGTCAATTATGAACTGTAGATATTCAGTGGTAAGTTCCATCTAATTCTTAACTATTCTTATCTACTTATCGGCTACTATTTAGGTTACGAATTTATTCTTTCAGCATTAGTTTGAAGCAGGTCAAACCGTGCCAAACCCGTTTCTGTTTTACCGTGTCGTACATCGTTTCCACGTAGCCAATGACCGTCAATTCACTAGGGTTCATGGCTCCATGTGGGTTTTGGAAATTGATTTGAATTCATTAACATTTTTAATTAATCTCAATATTCGCATCAATAGCTGTTATGAACTTGTGTGTAAGACGAACTGTTCAGTTTACAATCGGTTTTGGATGTAATTTACACGGAGAACATTAGTCTCGAATGAAATTATTTTTAAACTAAATATGCGTTTTTAAAATCTTAGTTGAAAAAAAAAATAAAATGTTCGGAATAATACAAAAATAAAACGCAACGTCTAAATGTTTACGCTGAGAAGCATGCAGATATAACAAATCACCGGCTGTTTCCTATAATCCCATGTGATTTGATTTTCCGTCTTTGGTAGTTGCCAATATTCTTCAAATAATTGATTTATTTTCGTAATTTTTTTAATTAAAAGTCAAGTTTTTATTGTTTATCTTTACAAAATCTGATAATTATATCATTTGAGTTATTTTTATACTGTCTATATTTACATTCTTATGGATATACATAAGAACCAACTTAGTCAATCTTTCTTCTCCCATTCTTGCCTTTAACCAAGTTTTAAGTAGTCTTAAAAAGGAAAAATTCTTTCTGCTGTTATGACAGAAATTGGCAACAAAACTAAAATTTTAAGAAATTAATGGATATACATTAGATAGTAATTTTGATCTAAATAATTTAATGTTTCATGAGCAGAATTTAAAAATTTTTAACCCAGGATATACTAAAAAAATATTTATTTTTTTTCACGCAAAATGTCCGAGATAACGGGCGATGCACAACGGTCAACAATTTCTTACAGTAACAAAGATAACGTTTTAATAATTTTTATTACACAGTACACTGTGTAATACCGATTGATACAAGACTTGATGTGTGGCTTGTATTGTACAAGAAATTATAACCGATTTTGTACGATATAAATTATTCTTATTATTTTATTGGTAGACGAATAGTTTAGGATTCTTAAATGATCAATAAAAAATAATTGAATAATTTTTTTTTACCATGTATGAAAAAAGCTTTTTTTTTTTTGTAAATTTAAATTTATTGCTCCTTTCATCTCCCTCTCTGACCCGTGCTTGCTTGTAATTAATTTTTACTTCTATTTGTATTATTCTATGAAATTTCTACTCAATTTTTAGATGTATTTACATTTAACGAGTATTTATTTAGATAAAGTGATAAGTGTCATCTTTAATGTTTGCACGTTATATCACCCACGGCAAACCTCAGTAGTCTCATTAAGCCCTGTAATCTAAGTTTTCCAAACTTTCTAGTCACACACTCCCATACACACACATCTATATATTATAATTATATCTCCATTCATGAAGTATGCATGATACACTTATTATACTTAAACACTAAAAATCAGTGGCCTATCAATGCGAGAATATTTTCAACATTTTTATTGATCTTACGTGCGCGTAAAATATTACACAATATAGGCATGCGGCAAGACTATACGCACCATTAAACAAGTCGGGCATAGAGTGAGTTTATCTCTGAACAATTCATGGACAACGATTTTTCTCTCGGGGTACGTTGTTTTCCGTCATTCCGTAAATTATGTATAAACGTGTACATATGTGTAAGCATAAGCGTTCAGTACTTCCGAATTGTAATTTATGAAATATAGTCGTATATATTTAATATATTTACATAGTTATTTACTGTATTTCTCAAGAAAGTGTATGTCTACTCGTACACGGATATCATTAGAAGTAACGCGCTTGTTAAAATTGTGTGGTACAACTGCACGAAACAAAAAATCAAACGTTTGAATAATATCTGTTTTTCTTCTTCTGTTAATGATTTCACTTACTTCAGTACTTGTTTATTTTATTTATTCGTATAGCAAGAAACAGAAAAACAGATATTAATATTTATGATAATTATAACAATTAAAAATTAATAGAATAGAATATCAATAAAGGCTATATCAGCAAGACAATAAGTGTAACAATAAGAGTATGCATTACAATAACAATAGTGTATATGACTATATATTTCGGCAAACGCCTATAATTTATTATCAAGATTTTGAATCCATTCAATAGCTTTTGGGGAAGCGTTGAACATATCTTCGGGTTCTCCGTTAAATTTCCTAATGGGACATTCGGTTAGTATATGTGATATGGTATGGTTTGGGTTGCTGCATTCACAATTTGGTGTTGGCACTGTGTTACTTCAGTACTGACTTGATTTGAATACTCGCATTCTAAATAGACACGTATTTCTTACGTATTTGGACGCGAGAACGTATCGATATATTAGACAGTTTTTAAGTTTTCTTCTCGAAATAGAAGCCGAGTACCAACAGCAATGTGGTGTATTATAATTATGTTCGATGTTTAAGCTGGGAAAGGTTTTAAATTAATTTTTTGATCTACAAGAAGAAATTTAAATGTTTATGGTCGACAAGGGAAAACATGTTGTAGAACTTAAATGATAATGATAACGAGTTATGAGATTCAGTATTTTTCATACACGTAACAACACATTTAAGTATTTAAAATTTAAAATTTAAAACAAGCACCTAGAAAATTCATATTTGATATGTTTAATTTTATTAAAGAATTTTACGTAAAATTAAAATTATTTGTTAATCAGTTAATCAGATTAAAACAGTTATTTTAGTTGTTTTGAAAATTGCCAAATATTAAAAAAAAAAAAAAAAATTAGTTTGTTCAATGAATTCGATTTGTAGATTTGTTAAACAAACTGCAAATCGATATTTTATCTCGATTTTTGGATGTTAAATTACACGAAAAATAGTTGCGTTTTTTTAAAATCGATTTATAATTGATACAATTTATATCGGCACTTCTTTTCACCTTGTACTTATCGAGTTGAAGATAAATTAATTTTATTAAGAAAAATTAAAACAAAAAATATTTTGAAATTATATTCAAAACTTTCATACGAATATTTGGTTTGAGGGACATTATGATGAAAATGGCAACTTTAATTGGCTGGAAGTATATATGAAAACAAATATTTTCACGAGTGACATGACAACATCAGTTCATAAATCGCGATTTACAAATAAACACCTTCAGTACATTTTGAGGATTGGAAAATTTAAATTACAAACAGATTTTTCATTAATAGTAAATGAAACTCAAGTTCAAATTTCACATTAAAATAAGTGAAGAGCATTTTAAATATTTTTAGTTTTATTACAATTATTAATATTATTATTGTATTTTTAAAATATTTAAAAGAATTGATAAAAAAAAATTTTTTTGTAATCATTTTACATTGAAAATGCAATTTAAAATTTTTTTTATTTTAAGATTCGCGACGGGCCACAAGCAGACCGTGGATTAGGCATCACTGACCTGAGGTGTCAGTATAAAAGTCATTAGTTGAAATAACTGATATAAAACATTATTGCTGATAACGAATAACGATATAGTTTTAAAAAATTTAAAAAAAACTGGTCGTCAAACCGCAGCGTAGTTTGTAATATACCATATTAACTATTACTTATGTGTATGTGTGAAAATGTTGTCAAGAGTGTCGTGGCGATATGGGTAATCGAGAGGCAGCCGCCACTCAATTTTTTTTTTTTTGTGGGGTATCGACAAATTATAATTGACTCAATTAATATTATTGAGTTTACTACACTACTAGTAGTCAATATAACTTATTATAATATCGATTCGGTAATTATGTATGGTTTGTTAGAAAACTGGTGATCGGGGGGAAAAAAATACACATACGCTTAAGCGTATTGTACTGTCTAAATTTTAAATTTTGTTTACAGTGATTTCTGTTGCGTTTTCAGGTAAAAAAATGTTCTGAGCGGAGTTGGTACGAATGGTCTAAAGGTTTCAAGTATATATGGCCTTTAAAATCGATTTAAAATAAAATATTGATGATGCTTTGTAACAGTCGATTTGAATAATCGTCTGTTATACTTCGCAAAACTATTGAGGGAAAAAGTACAAAAAATAATTAAAAATTTCGTACCTATATATATATATATGTATTTATATATGATACACCTGCAGTTTAAAGCAAAATCAGAACAGTTTTTCAAATCTGTTTTTATGTTGTAATTGTATTAATCATTTTTAACAGCCAGTTAATTAGTCAGAGATACTATACTGATACTATACTATATATACATGTATAGATACTGTACATTATTTATTTTATACGTAGAAACGAAAAATATCACATTTTTCTTCTTGATCATCATTTTACACGTGCAGTTTTCGAGAAAATATAATGTCTTTCGAATGCTATTGTTATGTGTCCCTAGATTCACGTTATGTTTTTCTTTGAACTACGAAAAATAAATCAATAACGTACATAAATGCGATATCTTTTTTTTAGGAATCACAGCGCTTCGAAAACGGTTTTTTTCCATTGCGATTTAGTAGTTAGCGGACTAAATAATTGAGCGTTTTATACACACTCGTCTCGTTCAACGAAAATAGTGTAGAATATTCTCGTGCAGCGTTGATCATTATTAAACCACACTTGTATTATTACGCGAAAATCGCATGTAACATAATATGCATTTAATATAGATATGTTATATATGGTACAAGAAAAAGTTTGATTTTTTTTATTCGTACAGTAAAATTTTAGTTCGTTTCCGTGTTCATCCCGGTACGTTCACAATAGCATACGCGTATTAAATGTTCTAGGCTGCGAAGTAATGTTGTCGTTTTAATACCTATTAAAAATATAAGGGCAGCATATTTAAACTTTTAACGCACCCTAAAAGTGTACAGTGATTTTGCGCAACCGAGCTGCTTACTGATTCAAGAGGAAAAAACGAGATCGTGGTAATATTTAAAAAAAAAAAATAAATAAATAAAGAGGGCGAGTACATGTATATACTGTAATAGGGTGGTGTAATTTATATCCGACGGTCTGGGTTTATGCTAAAACTGTTATCGATTACCATTGCAAATTACGCGAATTAAAACTCACGAATAAATACGAGCATATACCGCAACGACTAAAACATATATATATAGATGTTAACAATAATGATAATAATGTCCATAATAACGTAACGTATATAGATGTTACATTATTATGGACGTGGTTTACTCCGAACATAGCGTATTGTTGTACGGTGTATTGGAACGATGAGATTTTCAGTGTTTGTCCACCAGGGTCTGATGAAACGGTCGCGATATTTTTATTTATTTCGTTTTCAGACAAGAGAACGGGAAATGTAAAATAATACAAACATATTCACAAGGTACTCCTTCGATACATACGATATATGCAATAATGTGGGCACTTATATACGGCTTTTGATTATGCTGTATATTCGTGAAGTGCAGTGATACGCATCCAATTTTTGTTTTTTGACTTACGACCGTCACATTTATGTATTTTGATGATACGATCGTCTGCGTATAATAACATACGTTGTACATGCATTTTTCGTATAGACTTAAATTATTGATCACTGCATTTCTATTAAAAAGTCTTGACCACCCGAGTGGTCACGACCGCCCCCTTTAGTGTTGCGCATCACTGATGCAGTGAACGTATACGTGGTTAATATGCACAAGTGAGAGGATTTCTGACCGCGAACAGGTGGCAGAACATTGTTGCTCGATTAAAACGGTTAAATATATTTATAACAATAACACCACTTCAACAACACATGATAATTCTTCTCAGTTGTTCTTAAAATGCTTCATTCGTTTGACGACGCGATATAATCGAAATGTTTATTGTGATCTCATGCGAGAAAGCCAAACATTTTGTGTGACGAATCCGGACATATCGACATCATAAGTGCAACAAGAGCCCATATATTGGGGATGGGGGACGTTGAAGTTGCTGAAAATAAAATTGATGGTATTGCTTTGTAGTTATTAGAGATTGAACTAAAAAAAAAAAAAACCAGTGGCGCTAAAGACCCTCTTAATTACATGTATATACACATTATACATATATTAGTCACAATAAATTACAGTTCTCTAATAAGAAAATACAATAAAATAATTTAGATATTTAAAGATGAATTTATGTATTTTTTAACACTTAAAATTGATTTCTAGAAAACCAGAATAAAACAAACACATATTTTCCATAAGACATGAAATATATTTGTATAATTTTTAGAATCAACAAATGTATTAATTAATTTAAATTCACTAATTATAATTGAAAAAAAAAATTACGAGTATGGTTAAATTTTAATACTATTGAAGTAACCGAATAACAATATTTTTGATATACCATATAAACATTTATATATGCGTAGAGTATAATGTATGTATTATATTTTTAAATGATTGAAAAACAATTTAATATGTACATAACAATAGCGGTAGGAATGATTTTTAAAAATTATTAATCAAAAAACGATTAAAATGTTATATCGAATATATAGTAATAATAATAATAATAATAATAACAAAGACAATGAGAATAATAATGATAATAATAATAATAATAATAATGATAAGTAATATTATATACGTATTTAGACTTTGAAGTCTATGTTAAGAACATAAATGGAATAAATTGACACGTTAACGTGATTATATAGATAAAGATCACGTGTGTAATGAAATATATAAGATATAAATAGTAATATTAGTTTTGGTAACGTAAAAGAATATACGAAAAGATTATATAAGAATATATTTATATATACGTAATATGTACAAAAGTTAAGAGATGATTTTTTACAAAATATTCCAAATTGAATAATATTATGTGTTTGAATTATATAGCTTCGTGTTTATAAATACATGCGTTGTGTGTTTATAAGTTCAGATCACTGAATTGGATTTCTGCGTTGAATAAGTAGTTAATAACGTTTGCTTATACATAAATATTGGCACAATTGTACGTAAAATATTTATTTATTTTGTAACGGCATGTAAATAAAACGCATGACATATGATAAACATTTAAAATATTTACGTTGCTAAATTTTGAATCGAATTATTAATGATCGACGGAATAGATTATAACTGTTGTTCATGCTTTATCATTGCGATCAATATTTTTCTTGATCGTATCATTTGTATTATGAATAATGTTTTTTTGATCAGCCAAAATTCAAACATATTGGAAATTCATTATAATTAATAATATATAATATTATATACGTACGCAATTTTTGAAAGTGTTGCATATTTCAAAATGCATAAGTGGTTATAATTAGTGAGAGAGAAAGAGAGAGAGAGAGAAAAAAAAAAAGAAGGAAAACCAGCGGCGTTTTTCAACTCACGTTTTCGATTTTTATAATTAATGCATGAAAATTATTTAACTTTTTTTCCATAGAAAGAAAAGTACGTGTATCATATTGGTAACTATTATATATTTATACATGTATAGTCGGTTTCATGATGGATGAAGGCCGAACACTGCACGTGAAGAGTGTTCATTGAAGGTATGTCGTAAAGACGCATGTGTAATATATCAATAATAATAATAATAATAATAATAATAATAATAATAATATGCACAATTGAAAATATCGAATAAAATATTTATACGATAATATATAGTAATACGCTCGCGGCTTGATCCATCTAGAATATTTACAATTTTTTGTCTCTAAATTCTTGTATCGTTGCTATTGATTTAGCTAACATGTTGCCTATTGTAGGCCAAATTGAACGTTATGGAAGCGTTTCGGATGCCATTCGGATACGAGCGGTTAGCCTCGAACTGTTGTGCACCTCAGCCGTCCGTAGCGTGATACCGAAAATATCCTCATGATAACGGTTATCATCCTGGAAAAAAATAATAATAAAAATTAAAAACCCAAATAATCTCGTCTTTTTAGGTGGTATTTTCATTTTCCGAGCGGATTGACAGCAGAAACTGAACGCATTTAATCGAACTCACGAGATCCGTAGTAAAGATCGGAATTCTAAAAATAGACTACGGATAGGAATGAAAACAATCCCATTACGTCATCGTAGCTCAGTGGTGTATATAGGGGGGGGGTCTAGTGGGCTACAGCCCCCCGAAATGTTTTAAATAATTTAAAAACTATTATAAGCGTATGTTATATTTTAATGGTGCTTTATGCTTATTTAGAATTTGCGTCCAACGTCAAATCGTTTTGGGACATTCTGTAAATAAAATATAGATAAGTACCTACTATATCTTGTTAATAATTCTTAGATAGCAGTGGTAATTTAACTCTGTCCATAGTAGCCCCTCCCGAAAATATTTTCTGTATACGCCACTGTCGTAGCTAAACACGTTTGATCAGATTTTCAGGATAAATTTAGTCTCACCCGACTACTGATCGTTTTTTGATATGTATTTATGGCAGCACGGTAATTTATGAAAAAAAATACCCATACACTAATCGATATCGTTTTGACGCAAATCGCATTTTGATAAAAAAAAAATGAGGAATATTTCTTTTGACTTGCATACGCGCGTGGTATCGACCACCATAAATCGTGCGCACCAACGTACCCGTAATCCCAGCATAAAGTTATCGGATTGTGCAGAATTCATGCCGGCCTGTTCTTGAATTATCGACTTGAGGGTCTGGCATACGTTCTCCGCCATTTTACAATCGCCGCATACGTAGAAGTGTCCTCTTTCCACAGCTATTAATTCGTATATCATTTTCGCTTCCTTCAGCATCAAGTCTTGCACGTAAGTCTGTGGAGCAGAAAAACAAAGGAAAAAACGATTGAGTATATGTGCCCACGTATGGCCGATATGAGCGCGATAAACGAATAATTTATTTATTTATTTCGAATAGGCGATATTCGGGAGAATCGAGTTCGCTAAGAGATCACAGGGAGGGGTGGATCTTTAGCCATCAATGGCGTTGTCCCGGGTGCGCTACGAGAAAGCGATCTACCGCTACGCATAAATGAATAATTATTTTATTGTTTTACGACGTCCAAAGCGTCGTATCACGTCGGACGTACCACCGTGACGGTGGCCCAACATCAGAAATTACGTTTGCTAATGGTTTTTATTTTTTTCCCCTTTACTACACATATATTCGCGTGCACTGACTTTTGGAATCGTTGGGTCTCTGGACAGTGCCAAGTAAGTCTTGTCCAACACGCCCTCGTTTAACATTTCCATCTTGTCCGTTTTGTACAAGTCCATCGATTTGTATTGGCAGCCGAAGAACAACATGATTCTACCCATTTTCGTGTCTGCGGACAAATAAATACGGTAAAAGACGAGATTCGACAACATTAATAATATTAAACAATATAATTAGGTGATGAAAATGTGTGAAATGTATGATTGTTTACCGATGCCGTTTTTCTTTTGCGCGTATCTGTGTTGCCAAAATGCACGGAACGGCGCGATCCCTGTGCCCGGACCCACCAGTATCAACGGCTTCGAAACGTCTTCGGGCAGATGGAAATTTGGAGCGCTAAGAGTTGACAAAAAAAAATAAAAATCGTAGTGGACGATTATTTACAATTACCGTGGTAATTGTATGATAATATTATGTAATCGTTTTTAATAACTATATTTACCTTCGGACGAACATGTAAACTGTGTCGTTTATGTTGGCATCCAACAGGTAGTTTGAACAAACGCCATAATGTGTTACTCCTTTTCCACCTTGAAAAAAATACCAATGCAGTAAGATATTGTCATTATTTGACCGAAATCGTGATATTACATAATACATTTGGCGTTCAAACATCAGGTGTCCGACAAAGGCTATTAAAACTATTTAGAACCGGCGGAGTGCGATATTATTACGATGTGACCACCGCACGTAACGTTAGACCGCTGTTTTACCATCTCGTGTGGTAAGCCTTGGCCCCGGACACCCGGTGTATGTATCTTAATATAATGTGGTAAAATTTTTTTAATAAAGTCACCTTTAGTCTTATAGGTGACTACAGCTACGGTAAGGTGTACTTTGTCCGGGTGTAATAAACTTGACGAAGAGATGCTGTAGAATCTGGGCTGTAGTGAAGTAAGCTGCGCGACCAATAAAGCAGCCGGCGGGTTTATGGATGGAAACTCTTGAAAAACTTCTAAAAGATTAGGTAGATTACAGTGGCGCCATTCTTCGTAAGCTTCACTGTCCTGTACGCGGAAAATGAAAATTTTAAAAACTAACGACTATAAAGTAAAAATAAAAGGTGACAGTGAATTACCGAAGCTAAGTCTGTAAGATTCTTTTTATCAACATGATGAGTGGCGCAGGAAGCGAGAAAGTGTAGCATATTCGGTGTGGGTGGTGTAGTTATGTCCAAAAACCGTGTTAACAGAGTCCTCAAGGAACATCTTGGTAGTTTTTCGTGAGGCACCCAATTTTTCGAGACTCCTAAAAATCGAACATTACCGATGTTGTATCAAATAAATGCGGATCTGCATTGAGTAAATATATAGTACAACGAGATATATCCTAAGATTATATTAAGAATGTATGCTTGAAAAAGTTTTAAGCCCGAAACCCTGCTGCCTAGTCGTATGTGAATAAATCATAGCGTGTTCAAAGAACACTCTCACGTATAGAATTATTATATGAATGGATAACTGTTTATTTCGAGTTTTTTACTTTTCTTGGGTCGTTAAACTAAACACGGGATCCTATTTTAAGAGAACGGCTCTATTGTGCGAGGTCTTGGATTCTGCAGTTGCCTGTTATTAACTAGAACGGGTCTTTTGCGAGTTTATGAGTTTTCTAGTTCGTGTACGTCGTAAACGGGATAGTATATGATTTTCATGAACAGTATTTAATTTAACATGTAGAAAAAACGTTTTTTCCGATGCGTGAAAAAAGGAGTACAACATAATATTATATTGCATTGTAATTGGATGAGTTCCGCACGGATTAACAAGATATCGCAATGCACAGGTAAGTATTGACGAATCGAAGAACACGTATATTTCAACAGCAACAACGTCGAATCGATTCGGTTGATTTTGTGCACGCGAAACTTTCCAAAACGAAACGTAGTGAAAAACCGAGGACATTAGGCGATCGTTTTACGCGGATTCTACCTGTAGACGTATACTTCTCCTTATGCAATTGCAGCACCATTGGTTCGTCCGGGTCCTGGTCACACTGCAAGTACGGGATAATGCCGGACACCAGTTCTTCTCGGTTCGTCGCAAACATTCCCACGTGGTCGCCGGGGCGGTACATGACTTTCTCCGAATCTTTCCAATCGTCCACGGTAATCTCGAGCCACAGGGTGACGCGATCGCTCCTGCTGTTCTCGCTATTGCTCATCAGGTTCTGCCTGTTGGCTAGCCGACATGTCCACACCCGTTTGTTGTGATATTGCGCGTACGCTTAAAACGGGGGGAGGAGGGAGAAAAGAAACAATAATAATAATAATAATAATAATTATAATAATAACAGTTCTTCGACCGCGGTTACGGTTGATATGGTGAAATGTGATCGATTTTATCGTTTACACGATTTGCCGTTTCGGACTTACCTGTGGGCAGATCGTCCGGCGGCGAGTTCATAAACCGTACCGTAGACGCAGTTAATTTTTCGTTGTGAAGCACCTCCGACGCTTCGTTGAGCGATTCGTCCATGTCCAAACAAAACGTGTCACATGCAACCTGTAAAAGCGTTTAACACACGCACGCACGCGATAACGTTTTAGTCATTTAACATGGTATTTAGTTTTTATTAGTAGCGTGGTCTGCCCCAGGACGAAAAACGAAAGCTAAATAATATTGTGTTACGGTCCATGATATTACGTCGTTAAAGCTGATTTAAAATAAATAATAATGCACCGATGACTGAATGTGGACGAGTGTTTTTTCGGGTTAGATTTTCTTTGGAAATTGGATTAGACTTTTCGTTGTTTTTCTTTCAGAACTTTTTGCTAATTTATTGTGGACACCGTGGTAAGTTTTATATAATGCGGACGTACATTTGAACCAAGTACAAAAGCTTTTCCATCGAAAAGCGATAAATTCGAAATGTAAAATAAATACTTTGGATGATAATATCATTTTTAGTCTGCTCACGTGGAAAACCTCAGTAGCCCATTTTTTGAACGCTGGTTCTTGGCCACACATCTCGTCACCTTTACCGAGTTTTATTAGCCTTTCTCCACCAAGCTCACCCAAAAGATTATCAACGTATGATCCGAATGCACAAAAGTTTGGATATGCACTCGAACCCAATCCAAAAACAGCAAATCTGAAACAATTTAATAGTATTTAGTAGAGTGAAATGAAACATTTCTTTTAAAAACACTTTTTACGAAAATTACGGACGTCAAATATATATATTCTTTGATTAGTGATCGAAAAGAAATTGTTGTTAAAGATTATATTCATATTATTTTCGATAAAATCAGTAAAAAAAAAAAAAAAAATAATTTAAAAATACCAGTAGGTACAAGTTTAAAACTTATACTTGGCAACGAGAATATTATGAACACCAAATATGAAAAATAATCATAACGAATAACTGTTTTTGATCGAGATGAGTATAAAATCTTAATATATATATACATATATCCTTATACTATGAAATCACTCTACATATTCTTTTTGTATTCAGTCTATTATTGTTTTAAAGTAATTTTTATGAAATTGATTAATTACAAATATCACTGTCTTATATATTATATTCTCATACTAGTCATAATTAATCATATACAATTCCTAAACATATTTTAAATTGTAATTAATTTTATATATTTTTTAGAAAATAGTTCAAACATTTTAGTATACTACATTTATATAAAATATTCTGAAATATTAATTCAACATAATATTTTTAAATATTACGAATTTCATGAAGTTATAGATCACAACTAAAATTGAAAAAGTATAATATCAGAATAAGCCATTAAAAATATAGTTTTCACTCATGCTTATGGATCGTAAACATTAAAAAGAAAAACTATACTTTTATATTTACTTTTGATGTTAGTATGTTATTGAAGTTTCGGAATTCAGCTTTTATAAAGTGGGTAATAGTGTTTTTTTTATTTAGAACTATTATGTTTTAATATTATGAATAGATTATTTTAATTTCACTTACTTGCCCTGTAGTTAAAAGATAATATAGATATTATGAATATTATACATTCTTATCTTATGTCATACTTATTTTTATTGATATTTTAAAATAGGTCATATTTTCGTTTTATCTTAAGCTTGAGGAATGATAAAAGTTTAATCACACGCCGAAAGCTCGATTTGTTGTTTATCTCGGTGTTCCCGAGATAACTAGAAAAGGTTTTCTCTAAAAGGCTTGCTAAATCATATCGTTAATCAATTTCTTCTATCAAGTATGAGTGTATGTGTGTATTGAGTATAATTTTTTTGATTTAAAAAAATTATAATTTATAAATATGACGTTATAAGTTATTGCTATAATGTAGATAAATATTCAACTAAAACATTTAATGTTTGGGTTTTTAATCGAATCAAAATTGTATATATTAATTAATCTATAATAGTATTTTAAAAGCATATAAAACATAAATCATATTAATTCATTATGGGAACTAAAACTATAGGTACACAGTTAAATTTAAGAAAAAAATGATAAAAATTTTTTGGGTCTTATGTGTTTTGAACTTAAAGTATTATAAGTCTTTATTATTATTATTATAATTATTATCACATTCCTATACATTTTTCTTTATCTTTAGTATACTTATAAGTTAATACAACCTATATATAAAAAAAAAGAAGAAAACTATAACATGCAGAACAAAAACATGACGTATCGAAATCGATCATTATTTTGTTAATATGTAATTAACTTGTGCCGTCCTTTCTGTCATTGAACCGTAGTATTATCGAATTATTATTCATTAATTATTCATTTTGTCATGTATGACCATATTTATATTTTAGTGGGTATTAAAGAACATTAATAATTAATTATATTATACATTTACATTATCGATGGGATGGTAAAATGAATAAAATATAATTGATCAAGATTGAACAATCGAAATTAGTTTTAAATATTGTAGTAAGACAATAATTTTCTGTTATCATTCTGAAAGCCTCAATTATCGATGATTTTAGAATGGTAACAGATCGATTTTATTTATACAAGATTATAAACGTAATACACCCCTTGTCTTAATTTTTTCGTAATTGTTCATGAATCTGTATCAAACAACAAATATAGTTTTATTTTTAAAACTAATTCTTTGAAAATACCTGACGTTTCCAAGGGGTCCAAAATTATCAACATCTGTAGAATCTCTGTTCGATAAATCGTTTAGTTCAGTTATATGTTGACTCTCTGATAGACTGTTCGCTTTTATAAACGAAGCAGAGCTAGAATAATAATAATAATCAAACATTTTAATATTGCAGTTGGCTATTTTTCATAAATATAACTGCTTTCCGATAGATAAAATAGCGCAGTACCTGAGCGACGATGGTTTCACTGCTAGAGATTTATTAATACTATTGCCTTCGAGTTCCATTTTCATCGAGTGCAATTGCTGTGCAAATTCCTGTATAATGCATAATACAAAACTTGAAATAAAATTATCATTGTTATCTATTGTACGGATAGGTACGTAAATTTTTGGTTTTTATCGGCTTCATTTGTGCCATAAAATCCATTTATGATGTAAAATATGGCCAGAGTTTATTTTTACACATCATGGCATCACGTGTAAGTTGTGATCCTGGTATTTTAACCAGGGTAATGTAAAACTATTAACGACTTGTAGATATATGCTGAAACTTACGCGTACTTATGCCGTAGATATTTAACCACAACTTATATATAACTTTCAACAATTTTTTTCTAACCACACAGTTATTTAATAGTGTAAATTATGAAAAATTTACAGATGCCTTCTATTTGAAATGCATATACGTTAAACTTATAAATATGTAATCGGATTTTTTTCCCTCTTCTCTTTCTATCTTTCTGCCTCTCATATATGAATATTATTTATAAATTGTGTTTCAATAAATATAATTATAAAATGTTTTCGAAAGAATTGCAGTTCTATTAATTACCGTAAATTCTTAATAGTATATTAGTATACTATTATTAATCGATAACGGGTTGATATAAAAATTAGAGTAAAGGATATTTCACAAGAACTAAATTAGTGTTTTGACGTACCTGTCCATTCTCAGGAGGATCGCCATTCCCAAAAGTAGATACTACCACTAGTAATAATGCTTCGTGTTCAATACTTATCATGTCATACTCCTCCATGCTCATCACCTTAAATATTAATCAAATAATTAATACAATTAAAGATATATAATAATTAATGCACAATGTTAATGGTTAATGGTTTTAAAGGTTATTAAATGAATATTTCTGATAGTGCCTTGGTTTATAATATAATAAACTAATTACTTTGTACAATATGTACCTGAGAATGAAAAGCACGTGCAAATATTTCACCCAATTTTTTCGCATACATTTCTGATCGTCCTGTTTCCGTTGCATATAATATGGTCGCTTTGATTCTACGAGACAGTGCTTGCCCAAACAGTTTTGATGTGAATTTTACAGCTCTAAGGAGGTAAAAAAATTATTTTCTAATGAAATAATTTTCAAAAAGGAAACGATTTATTATCACGTCCAATTTCAAATATAGGTACCTGGCGATCTGTTTGAAATGGAACTTTTTTGTCTGTTTATTTAACGATTTTCCTTGGTTTTGTCCTTTTTTCCAAACATGTGTTTTCCAAGCCGGTTCCTTTTAACATATTTAATGAAAATATAAGACTTGCCCAATTGGAATTACAATATAGGTTTTATATTATTTTTTCTCGTGTTGTTATTACAAAAATATACCTTTAGATCTATTTTTTAAAACATGATTTATTGAATACCATATTTTTATCGATTTTCACGATATATATATTTTTAATAAACATTGCTCGGTAATCATAATACTATGTATTCAAGAATCTTGTGCTGCCTAAAATATTTTAATATTAAGATTGTTTGTTGTTTCGCGAATTGAATTGAAACCCATTTTTATAATAATAAATGTTTACTTTTACTATTAAAATATTTATTGCGTTGGTGTGATTTATTATTTAAGTAAAGTTTTTAAGTTAATTTCTCATGAATAAAACCAAATTATACTATTTCAAGCGTTTAAATTATTAATCGTAATCATGCTATTCAGCGGTAAGCTTGTGCACTTAAAAATGTATAATTTTTCACAACAGTTGTAGTGGTTGTGCTAGAAATCTAATGCTTTACATGGGCTTGTTTTACCTGATACGAATACATTGGGTGAAGTTCATAGTTGATCATTTCTTGGTGAAAAACAGGCGTAATGGAGCCGGATATCGGAGGTACAATCCATACCCAATCTGCGGGACAGCCGTTTCTTGTTCTCAACTCGTTGTCGTAGTGTTTCATAAACGATTCGGATGCGGTATGATGGTCCATTATCGTGATGTTGTTCGACTGAAATCAGAAAAAATAATGACGACCGAAAGTCATAGACGGCAATCATACAATATTATAACTGCTGCGAACTTACTTGGAAACTGTATAAGACAGCTAAATTGACTTCGATAAGAGCTCGGTCTTTTTTTAAAAATCCATAATTTTTCAATTCTGTTTTCATGCGTGATAGGACTTCCTGAAAATTAAGAACGATAGATTTAGTTTATATGACTGTGAGGAGGGAGGGGGGTGTAAATATATAATCTTAATAATAATATTGATCGCTTACGTCTAGAACGTTGTATCTGTGCACGTCGCATAGATTTCTGCACCCGATTTCTGAGCTCATATACCACCCATTGAACGGACAAGCTGTAAACTGTATACCACCACAGTCGAACATCATGCCGGACACTGCGGGAAGACAGTACCACCGAAGACCCAAGTCGGAGAACCAATCGAATCTACATTCAATTTTGATTTGATTGATATAATGAAACGAAAATCAAAAAATTGAAAAGCGCGGTGTCACATAATTTTAATAGATCAGCGTACAATTTGATCGCTTTGTGAATAGTAATATATTTGCGTATACTTGTTACTGTATTATTATAATCAAAATTGTAGTAACTTCAATTTAAAAGATTGTAATTGGAAATTTTTACATTTAAAATTACGTTTACAGCATGAGATGACGTGCACATCTTCGTAGCAAACGTGTTAAGATTTACGGAAATGCAATTAAATATATTGACACGTAAAGACCATCAGAATTGAAATATATCAAATGTATAAATCCTCAGGATCCGTTAACTATTGTATGACACGCACGCAACGTTTCATATTGTATTCAAATTGAGTCATCAGTAATTGAAATTGGATGAAGTTATAAGCGCATGGGTAATAAATTAATTTTCCGTTAATAAAATATTAACATAAGTTATTATTAATTAAGAATTCAAGAAAAAAATAATGCAAATCCATAAAAAAAGTTGAAGATTACATTATAGAAGTTATATTTTTTCTATTTATTTTTATTTTTTTCAATTTAGTTCTATAATTTTTTTCTCGTACGGTACTAGCAAATCATCTTTAATTTATATACGACGAGAATGTTTATTAGTTTTTAATCAAAGGCCTCGTCATAAAAAATGATTTCCAATCCTCATATTCCCCTCCAAGACTTCTACACATGTTACGTATAATATATCGAATGAAGCTTGATAAAACTCATAACATAAACACAAGTACCTATATGTTTACATTTTAATAACTTTCACATGTAGTAGTAGTATTAGTATTACCACCTACGGCGTAATTGACCCATGGCGTCATATTATATTTTATGTAAAGCGGTATATCGCCGGTTCAAGTATGACGTACTCTAAGGACAATTAAGGCTGTCAACCGTTAGGGCGCGTCTCTAGTTGAATTAAGAATTCTCACCTGAAATTAATAAAATCGTTTTTTTTTTGGCTGATTTTTTTTGCCCACGTAGAATGAATATATTATAATGTTATAAGTTTAATTATATTTTACGTGGTATTATTTCGCTTTGGCTGCGGTTATAAAGTGTACTTTACGTTCTAATCTCCATTGCTTATACAATACAATACAACATACATAGGTGTGTTGAAATATTTTTGAATTTTAATACCCACATGTTCTAATTATTCGAGTATTTGGCACTCGTTGCTGCTCTCATCCCTTGGCACCATTTATATGTTCCGTAATCGAAAATATCTTGTCATATGACTTGAAAATTCTTGTTATTTAGAGAACCGAGTAAAAGGTGGTTTGTTGTATTATAAAATTAGCAAAAATTATTTTATATCTAAACACTGAATACTGTAGGCCAGTGCTTCTTAAAATTTTTTTTTAATGGGGACTCTTAATTGAATGTAAAACTGTCAAAACCCCGTAATCAGTATTATTATTTTTTTTTTTTTTAGTTATGTATTAAAATGACATATACTATTTCATATATATTAATTATTAAAATTTATGGTAAATTAATGTTTTTTTTTATATATTTTTGAAAATATTTTTTAAAAGTATTAAACTATAATCATGTATAAATACGAATAAATTAAGATCTAAAGAATATAATTTAAATAAAATAAATATTTCATGGCTCTTCAGTAATATAACTATGACTCCCAGTTTGAAAACCATCGCTGTAGAAAATTTAAACATATATAATATAGTAGGTGCTAAATAATATTCATTTTTACTAAGTGCCATCATATTAATCATTTTTTTAAAGTATGAGCACCTACAGAAATTTTTTCAGTTTAAAATAATGCTACCCAAGACATTTTTAATAGAAAGAATAAATTAAACTATTGTTATGTTACATATAAATATATATTATTTAATATTATATAGTTATCGTTTTAAGTGTATTATTTAAAAAACAATTTAATTTGAGATTTTTATATACAATATATTATGTAAATATTTACTAAATGAAACAATTTTTTTGTTGAGATTTATGCACATGTATAATAATTTTAATTTATTAAATCAACTCACGAATCAAAATAAAAAAAATAATGTATCTTTATATTCAAAAATTAATATGCAAAGATTTAAAAAGTTTTCAAAAATAAAAACGAGTATTTTAAATATTTTAGGAATTTATGCTGGAATGCAATATAATTGAATAAAATTTTTAATTGCATCTCGGACAGTGACATGCATAAAAAGAACCAAGTTTTCTTGTGGCCACTATGTATTTGACATTTAATTAAAAGTTAGATAAATATTGAAATGTGACTACAAGTTATATTAGGCACTTAATTTACTGAACTCAGAATTGAGAACCAAGATATACAAATATTAAACTTAAGTATGACAATAAATGTTTAATCTATGACGAGCAGTTGGTTATTAAGAAGAAAAAATGTGTGGCATTGATTAGTTAGTTTTAGAAGGAAAGTGTTAGAAAAATTGTTTTGTATACAATTGTTTACATAGAACGTTAATGCGTGTACATTTTTTTATAAATCTCCATTACAGATAATAAATTCGTGCTTTAAACGAGCTATTTCATTGTAGTGAAAATAATATACACGCATAATTCTCGTGTGCTTTATTTTATTTTATTTTTTAATCAGAATAGGCCGTGGCCCAAAGCACAGTAGTTAATAGAATCATAACAATAAGAAAATATATATATAATATTAGCAGTAAGAGAAAGATGAATATTCATTAGCAATGCGTATCATCCTGAATATTGGTTTAAAACGGGAATAAATAATTTTATTATTTAATTAATTTCATGTATTATTATATATTATGTTTTATGTGTTTTACTGAATGGATTTTTAAATGTTATATGTACTCACGTAGGATGAATAAGATTAACTTCCAAAACGATTTCTCTTGGCAAGTCGAAATAGTCCGGATCGTGTCCGTTCGCTGATAACACTAAAGGCAGTAAATCCCATCTTGTACCCTTTCCACGCCAACCGAGTTTCATGCACACCTAGAATTGACAGTGAGTAATTTATTTGATTTCCTCGTTAACTATATTATCTATGCATTCTATGTTTGCGTTTTTAAAACTGGTTTTACCCGTACTACTCGCATATAATATATTTCGAATTATTCTACAATAATATAATAGTATTAATGGTAATAATATTGCAAACGTGTATATACGTATGCAAGGAAAAACCTTCTGGTATCTCGAAGTAAATAAATAAATTTTTAAAAAAAAGAAATAATTCAGAATCATTTTTTTTGTTTCTCAAATAATTTAACATACATCTGTGAACTCCACATTCATCGGGTCACCAATGATAGTGCCGTCCGGTTGTTTGTATCCAGCATAAGAAATTAGTTGAGAATTCCAAACACGAAAATCGTGCTTGCCGTCGGTCCTTTGACGGAATACAGTTATGGCCGATCTGTAACATAAATTTGTAGTTGTGTATACCAATTAATGCTTACGATTATTTCATAGCGATACTAATTGACTTTTTGAAAAAGTTGCGGATCCTGGATTTGCATTCGTGGTGAGCAGGATATTCGGGTGAATTAAATTTAATTATTGAATTATATATATTACTTAATTCAAATTGTTAAAACAAATAGTTACGGAACCATAAAATATATTTTGGTAAATGGCTATGGATCTCTCATGATTTTTTATTATCAGATTTGAGACAACAAAAATATTTTTATGAACCATTAAATGTTCTAGATCATAGAATATTTAAATTATTATATTGATAATTAATTGGTCGATGGAAAAAATTAGTATATTAAAGATTTAAAAACGTAAATTTTTTAATAAATTATAGTTTTATTGTTTAGTGTTATTGTTTTTGCTGATTTCTAAACGTTTTTATCAACAAGTTATTAAATTGTGATTTGTAATAAAATATAACATCTTTTATAATTGTTAACACAAACATTTGTTCATCAGGCAAATGCGGAATTGTATTGTATAATTAAAAAAAAAAAAAAAAAATATATTCAACGACGCCAGTTTAATTATGCATGGAATATAAAATTAAAGTTAAGACCATTATTATTTAGTAATATAAAAAATGCAATATTGTTTAGAAAATAAATAATAAAAATTACGTACATTTTAAATTGTTGTTGTTGAAAATCAAGATCATTTTCTATAAAATTCATTAAAAGAAATCTAGACTCTGACCAAAACTTATAATTTAACATATTATTATGAAATATCGATCATTTAGCTATGGAGATGAATATTCTCATGAAGTGGCCTATTTTTAGAAAGAAAAATATGGTATGGAAAACGAAAACTAATTAATTTAATTATATATACTATAATACTTAAGTACAAAATTAATTGTCATGATTAAAAGATTAATTTATCTAAAATTAAAAAATTATAATTTGAGTTATTGCCCTTTGACAGCTAAAACATCAAGAATTTGATATAAATATAGTTGTGTCAATTATGAAAAAATTGTGACTAATAATTTAAATTTTATAACAAGTGAAAAACTTATAGACTTTCAGAACTTTGTAAGTAACTGTTGAAATTTTTTTGTTTTCTTCGGTACTTTTGATTATAGGAAAAACATAAATTTCAACCGGAAAATGCCTGTATTTTTATAAGAATAAACTATAAAGTGATTACCTATGATCAATGTTAATGCTTTATACAAAAAAAAAAAAAAAAAAATTGTATTATAATCTGTACAGTACTTATTGACCAAGGAAAAGTCATATTCAAAGAAAAATGTTATTTTATACTGTGAACCAGCTAAAAGAGAATTTAAAATAATTTTTATCAAAAAGAAATATAAACTCTGATATTACACTTGATATATAGAGTGTAGGTGCTATACAAGGGCGTATTTTAACTATAAACCATAAAGTTTACAAATATAATGTATTTGATATATTATTCCAAAAGTAACAAAACTTATGGAAAATATTCTGTATGTAGGTAAATTTAATTGTTATTGATAGCAACTGCAGTTGGACTACCAGTTAAAATAAAATATGAAATATATCATACAGAAAATAAAATAGTCGAAAACAATTCCAATAACTTCTGGTGAAAATCATAAACATGAATATCCTTTATCAATTTCTCTTGGGAATATCGTGGTTTGGTTTATGAATGAAACTCATACCAGCGAATAAACTGTACTTAAAGTTTAAAAATAAAAAATAACTATATCGGAAAAAGTATTTTAACATATGACTTCCGTGGTAATTATAGTGGTTTAATGTAGCATATAACGCTAACAGTATAATAATATGCTATTAATGAATAAATAAATGAAGATGTAACTTGCAACGTGTTCGTTTTTGATATGTATGATTTTGAGATTGACAATAATGATGTAAATGTTAATTTTGGTTAAGCACATATTGTTTAAAATAATTGAGAAAAATGTAAACTTTACTAAAACTATCTTAATAAGAAAGTTTTTGAGTTCATTGGTATTCCTAAATGCAAAATCTTTCTCACTTTGCTTATAAGTTCCAGTTAATCGTATATCTATACTATATTATATGTTGTTTTATACCGTGTGTGCAGTAAGCACGAGCGATATTAGGCGAGACAGGAAATTAAATCTCATAATGCATTCCCGCAGTTGATAAAACTTTTAGAATAACACCTTGCGATTAATTGTGTTTCAACTTAACCAAACAATTTTATTACCACTGGAGTTATTTGGCTAGAAATTGGTAGTGCCTACTTCGAAAGCGCTGGATTGTAAAATCGTATTATTTTAGAAATCAATCGAAACTGGAAAATAACTTTCGTCTAGAATTATTTTTGAGTACAGTGATAATTGCTTTCGAATCCGAGGATGGTTCGCGAACGCATTTGATTAAAACCACGAACCGAGGTCTATGCGTGTGCACGTGTGTGTTTTGACGAATGCGTTGAAATGGTGTATACATCATTTATCGTTATTATTGTACTCATGAATCGGATAGGCTTAATATTTCTGGAGTAAATTAACGTGTTATTGGTATTGATTAAATAACAAATAAAAACGCTAGTTTTTTAAATTTATTTGTCTTTTTTTTCTCCGTTATAAATAAAAGTGTAGATACATGTAACAAAAAGCACTAACAATAATATAGTTATGAGTGTTGAGTATATACGAATAGTTACACGAAATAAAACCTTATGAAATATTCATTTAAGTAGCACATTTGACGTTAAAAATAAATTATTTTTTTTCGGTTGCGACGTACTACTAGATGATCAGTAGTAACGAAACCAATCATTTTTTATGTATCATATTATATCTTACGATAGTGGAATAACTAAAACAAAATTCACAATATTGAACCATTCAACATTCATAGGCGCGCTTCGGCGTCTATTCAAATTTAGTTTTAAGAAGTTCAACTTTTATAGTAATAGTAATACGACATTGATTATTATACGTTTGTTAATTTTTATTGGAAGCAAAACGGGATTTTATTTTGGTGGCGCGAAGATAACCAACCACGGTATATCGATGAATAGCAAAAATATTATACTATCCGCCCAAGAAAACATTGAATTGATAAAGTAACATTAATGAAATGAATAAAATTATGTTTATCTCCCTCTTTTTTTAAATTTTCGATATACGTGCTGTTTTCAATCATATCTAGCCAATTTTTATTTCAGTTCCAAACATGGACGTGAAATTAGTTCGCATTGACATGAGATATCTGTTTTGGACTTAATACGTGAACTTCTTTTTCAATGTATGCAAATGTTTCCGATATAATAAAATCAACAGAAATAAAGTTGACATGAAACGGGTTCTGCGGCGTAACCAATCAATAGCTGACAGTTTAATCAAACTTGTAGAATTTAATTCTGCCTGTATTAGACGAAGTGAAGAAGTATCGCACGTCAGTATGTATGCAAATTAAATTATTAAACGTATACTGAAATCAGACTACTTGACGGTGCTATTATACACCGTCAACTACAACAACAACAACAATAATCATGGTATAACTCATAAGGACTTCGAGAAGAATAAATTGAGAGGTTTCGGTTCCAGAATTTATTTAATATGCTAATATACATAAGTGCATGTAATATGGTGGCCGCGGATACTTGATTTGTGTCTGGAGAAGTGTTTTAGATGTATTACGCGAATATTTTCTATGTGACTAACCTTATATTACCCTTGTTTGTGCTGTACTTAATATGGTTGCAAATAGCTTCAAACATGTTGCTGGTCGTGGTCACTGATCTACAATCGAACATCTGAAAAATAAACATTATTTGTATACAAATTGAGATGCTTTTATAGATTTTCCATTATGTTTCAGAATAATTGTAAAGCCTGTCAGGTAATCAGGTAAAAAGTGTTGAAATTATTCCACTTAAACGTGCATTTAAAGGAACTACAGTAAGAAATTTAAATCAATAAAAAATTAAATATTTTGTTCCCATAAATACAATTTAATAGTAAGAATCAAACAGTTATTAGTATTAAAATTAAAAATTAAATGGTATGACAAAAAATTAAGTAAATAAATCAAAGCACAGTGAAATATTAACTAAAGAGCCGAGTAACTAGATCTAAAAGAAAATATATGCAATGAAGTAATAATATATAATTGATATTAAAACATCGGACCAGTAAGTGTCCTAGTGCGATGAAATTTTTTTGTATTAGATTTATTTTTTATTTTTTTTTGTATAGGACACTTTTAGTATAGCTCAACTCATTTTTAATATGTCAGAATGAGATTAAATACTTTTCCCTCGCAATTGACAACCCACTTATCATTGATTTGTTCATACTTTTTATTCACAATTTTTCGCGAATATTCAATATCGGTTATCGGTCAAAAGCATAGCTACTCGTATATCTGAATTGGAAAAAAATGTAAAAAACAAAATAATACAAGTTATTTTTGTATAGTTTTAGTAAATATAGTTAAGATGTAATTAATGTTTAATATCATTTATGTTTTGAAGATATTGGATTCAAAATAATTTGGAGTTACTTTAAATTGTAATTATCAATAAAATAATAAAATAAAACCAAAATTAGTAAGTGGTTAATAGTTGTAAATAAATAAATAAATGCATTTTTTATACATAGAAATAAATATATAAGTTAATAAATAATTAAATAAATAAAATGTATAGCCCGCAGTATTCAGATATGTATATTATTTACTATTTGCAAAAAAAAAGTATAGTTTATATTTTGTCTGTAAACAAAAATGTACTAAATTCTTATCAAATACAGTTTGGTGCAGTATTATTTACTGCACTATACTGTTGTATAATATGCTTTTAATGTTGTCCATTAAGATGCAAAATATTCTTGACTGATTTCGTAAATGTTTTTATTTCCTTCGTTATTATTGCTTTCTATAAAAGGTTTTTATTTTATTTTACTCGATTCTGGTATGAAGCTTCATTAGAGTATAAGCAATATTAAAATTATTCTCATTATAGTTCAATGAATTTTATTTATTTAACCTCTTCTAATAGTTTCAAGTAAAATTATACCACCCTAAATTTTTTTTTAGAAATTAAAAAAAAAAAAAATTATATAATTGTAGTAAAACCTACTTGCAATTTAGCCCACTGAATCCGTCCAATGCACCTGCCAGAATTTCTCCATGCTAGTTTGGCACCAAATGCCAATTCAGTTTCTGTAAGTTGGTATGTACCAGTCAAATTAACTTCTCTCTGTACTTGTTCCCATCTAGTTTCGTACGCAGCATTATTAGACCTGTAAAATAAAAATGTTTTTTTTTTTATTGTAATCTAAGTCCCTGAAGGCGAATTCATACAATTGTGTGAAATAAATAAAAATGTATATTTTTTATTTTTAAGAATATTGTTCTGTATATATTTAAATAGTTTTCATATTTGAATCAATTCGTTTTTTAAATACACAAATATGTCATATTTTGTTAATTTTCTTATATTACTGCTATTTTATGTAATGAAAACAAAGTGGATTAATACATTTTTTTTAAAGTTGACCAGTCATTTTGTTAATAGATTAATAATTGTTAACTGCAATATACGAGTAAAATTCATCTATGATGTAGGTAAATACTAGACAAAAGTTCACAATCGAATTTAGTATGAAATAATTATACTTAAATTAAATAAATAATAAATTTAATACAACCATCAAAATTAGTGTGTTCTAAATTTGGTCTTTATACAGTACATAATAAATGCTAGGTTTTTTTTATTAAATGTTATTCTCAAATAAATCTTGTTGTAGTTGTTACTACATTGTACATTTTTAACTTTGCGGTTATCAAAATTAACATGAAAATTTCTTATTATAAATTAACTATACTTAATAAAATCCTAATTAGTGATTATAAAAATTTTAAATTACTACGTTAAGGTAAGATTTTAAAAAATTTAAAGCATAAAAGTTATGCTCTCGGTTGCCGATAAAAATTTATATTACACACAATGTGACTTCAAATCTTATGTAGATCATTAAAGCAATAGTTTTATCGTTTTACGACGACATATTCAATTATTTTTGGCATTTTCGTAATTTTTTTTTTTGTTTATGGTAAACGATTTTAATCCCATTATGGTCATGTTTACGCTACCGACCATGGTCCATCATCTAACGAACCGTAGTAGTTTTTGGACGATGTACGAATTTTAATAAGAACGATGTCGTCCGTGGTACCAAAATAGTACAATACGCATACGTATAGCCATTGGTCTTATTATTATTTCGGAGTACGCTTTACGCTTTACTGCGTTGTGTTTAGACAGTTAAATTGATTTAAAAAAAAACCAAGAGAACAAACAAGAATAAAGTTATGATAAAACGAATAGCAGAACATAATACTTGTATCTTGTGTAACATTCGTGACCGTGGAGTAATCACACGATTCATGCAAATATGGAAATTACAATATGCCAACAGTGTTTTGAATTCGTCTTAATGCAATAAACAATTTTCGAAAAACCGAAATAAAAAATGAAATTAAGACGGTTGTGATTGCCATCATTACTTTGTAGCACGGGAATGTGTTATTATTCTAAATAGTAAACGCAGAGTGATTAATGTAAGAATTTCAATAGAATTAAAAACGAGCAAAGTCATTCATGCAATTCATGTACTCATAACACACATTTTACGACGTGTACCGCAGGTGACAGATTATTGAAAACGATAATTTTATTTTCCTTGGCGTTCTGGGTGTCTAGTGTCAAGCAAGTGCGCGATTTTGTGGAGTAGGAAGGTTTGAAGGTCTTCAGTCCTGTTAAAATTAGTCCCTGCTATAACGTAGGTATTTTATATTATTTATCCAATACAGTACAGGGAAAGTGTTCATTGTTTTATCGTGTAACTATTTACTTTTTTCAAATAATTTTGTAGTTCGTTGATTATTTTCTAAAAAAAAAAATTTTTTTAGCTCGAACGCAGCATTCAAATGGGTTCCACATCCGTGTACAGTGTTCTGGGACTGGAAGGGTGTGCACAATGTAAACTGTTTATTGCTCCTTTGAATCAAAAATTGAAATCGCGTCATCAGTGTCGAGTGTTGCATGTACACATGCCCGACAAGAGAGGGGGTAGCTGAGGCTGTATTCCAGGGGCCCGAGCTTCAAAAAAGGCCCGGGGTCTGAGCAAATTCACTACGTCTCGGTAATGGTGTCAAGATATTTATGTATTACCAACATGAATCGTGCTAATAACCTACCCAAATAATTATAGCATATGCCGTATAGTTATAAAGAGTCTACAATAAAGTAAACACTGCAATATTGATCTAAAATGTAGACAAATAATATTTTCAAAAAAGATCCATAGGCTTTAAATAATTAATTTCATTTAGTCCGTGGAATAACCATGACTGTGATTACATTATCTCTTTGGTATACACATTTTAAAAGAAGTCACCGGATGTCATGTTAACCTCGTGTGAGAAGGGCCTGTATTATTTTGTCTTTTTGGGGCCCTTGATTTCTCTCCACGGCCTTGCGTGTACATTGGTACGACTTGGTTGGTGCGGGACGCTGGTGTTCCATGATATGCGAACGTATTAATAATATGCTGCAATCACTTTTATAAGTTCCAAACGTGATCGAAATCCAAACAAGTTTTGAACGCAACACAACGATAACTGCAGCGGGCTATTCGTGTGCGAACACGTGTCCCGACGATAATAGTATTATCATCTCGGCGGAAACAACGAGAACGCAACGTGGAGGATAAGCTCTCGACGTCTCGACGCGGATTACGAGAGTATTGCATAGAATACGACGATGACGACGAATTACGAGTGGAGACTAGGATGGGTCTGTCCTCGTTTTCGGTACACGTACACAGTAGGCAGTGTATTTTATATTAATAGTCCTTTTCTTCCTTTCTCTCGCGACACCGCACAACACGATATTGCTATTATTATTATTATACATAGGTGTATATAGGTATCTCGTCTACCTACACACGCCCGCGAAGAGGTTTACATCGAGATTATATAATTACCCGCCACCCCTGTACACACTCGCGCGTTTAAGATTATGCGATAATTTATTATTCTCCTGACACACGTTCCTCGCCGCTGCCTCGCACTGAATGATACACATAACGGTAATAATAACGATTAATAATAATAATAACAATAATAATTATTACTAATTATTATATTGCCACAGGACGAGACGGCGATGACACGCGCGCGGGGTAAACAGTACATGTACTACTGTTGTGGACTAATGGTCTTGCCGCCGGGAGTTACGATCGGTGTACATGCATTTGCACCGAAACAGTACGTTTAAAATAATATAAATAATAAGCACATTTCTACAGTATTGTTCGAGTATCCAAACGCGTACGTTTATAAGTACACATTTAGAGAGTAATCGTCTCGACCGTTTACAGTAAGTGATAAATGTTTTTGATACAATAGTGTTGCGGTAAGAAAATATCGTATGTAGTGCCGATGCTGCATTGCGTGATATTATGTTACGCAAACATTCCGTCTTCTTCAAGCGGTCGAGTTCGAAAATTAAAATTAAATTAAAATTAAACCGACCGCTTGCCGATGTATATTTCCAATTACGATATCAATTGTTTATTAACTATAAGCCAAATAAGCAGAAATAAGAACGAAAAACCAATGTTAGTCTCGGTCGATCGGAGTGCTATTCGTTCCGTTTCGATTTTTATCGAAGACGGTATTGTTGTTCATGTGTAATCAATGGGGTTGGGAATTGAATGCCCCGTAAAACCTACAGCTTAAAAAAATGATTTTATTTCCTAAAAATTATTTTACTCCCTAAAAATTCTAAATTATACCTTTAAAAAATGCACTATATTATTTTGAATTTTAATCATTTTGGTATATATAATGTTCCGTAAAATGTATTAAAAAAAAAGGAGTTTAGTAAGTAAAGTAAGTAAGTAAGTTTAGTAATAAATAATAATACCGTATTGAATCTGAGAAAAAACAAAACGCGATGTGCCAACTTTGGATACGGAAATGAACGTGTTTACGCAAACAATCCATTAAATAACTTATTACTTAGCCCGGTATTCGACCGATTTTATTCGCTCTTCGTCAGAATACGATCGTATGAGTTCATCTGACCACGTTTGCACGACGAGTAATCGCATTAACAAAGTGTAATAGTGCATAAGACGAACAATAGCTACCAACAATATTCTAAAAACAACAAATAGCAGTAACATCATGTAGAACGCTACGTATTATTATTATCATAATCCGGTGGCATCGCAGTTCGTTTATATAGAAAACTTTGTTTTAACTTTCATAAAAAAAAAAAAAAAAACAACCCCTTAATAATGTCCAATTACTCATGCCTGACTATTATTTAAATGTATACGTGTAGAGATCAGTTCCCTCGGTGGTTAGGTTCTCGTATCGTAGAGTTGATGTAAACGAAAAAATATGAAACTCGATAATCGATGAGAACGATTTAAATCCATGTATCATTATTGAACCGAGACTATTTGTTTTCGCGTAAAATATGCAATGAGTTGTTCTCTGCATTGTATGACGGTAAAATATGATCACAATATTCTAAAAATTGATAGAAATTTTTTAGTAAAAAAAAAAAAAATCGTATCACTGATGTTTGCTTTAAAAACCGAATGAAACGGTAGTAAATAAATCCGATTTGCGGATATATCGTGCCGGCTCCGATAGAATTATATAACTATGTAGACGCATGCGGATTCGGTGCGCATAATTGGCGCTATATCGTTGCTCAAGTAACACGTGTATGACAGACTTGAGATTTCAGCGCGGAACAACTGTTACTCATCACTCAACGACCACTTGGATAGTCGTCTTATTTCCGACGACTACGGCCGGCGGTGCTGTGTTGGTTGTACACCAAAGAACAATATAAAGTCACGAACGCGCGCAACAACACTCCGTGCCAAATCGAGCAAATTGCTGGGACGTCTGTTGTGAAGTATATAACATTTTTTATTGCCCGTATAAAATAGCGGTTTTTTCTCCTAGGATATTTGCATGCGTACTGGGTCGTAATAATTTCGTTTGTATCAAAAGGTAATAATAATAATAATAATAATAATATTGCACGAAAAGCCCATATCGTGGAAGCTAACGGTATGGTTCATCCCTCTTGGGAACGGCAAATCGCACGGATCCACGATACGGTTTTTATGCATTACATTTTCATACGCACAGCGATCATATAATAGGTCAATATAGTGAAAACTATAAAAACAATGATCACATATTAATA